GAGGTATCACTTTGCACTGTGTGACTGATCCATGGGTCAAAGTTTTTGTCAATATCTTACTTCGCAAGGGGAGAGGGGTGGGACCGTAGGCAATTTTCGACCTCTAAACTCATGCACTGAGAAGTAGGGAAGCCAACTGGGAAGGTATCAAAGGTATCAAAGCACTATCTTTAATTTCATGCATTGTTCGACTCCAATATGGCTGGATAGTCAAGACGGGACGCATGCAAGCGAAGACTCAGCTGACCCATCTCGACTAGAGGTTAGTGACCCTTGTACTGCTTCGCCCTTTGGAAACCTTGCATGGCCGTGGGATGGTGACATCGTGTCACAAGGAGATATCGCCTTGCATTAGCAGAAACACGTTCGAAAGGGCTGAAAGGCGGCTCCTCACTCACCTTGTGTTGCCATTGGCCAGATTACCGTGGAATAGAGCCTCAGTAGACGGAAATATCACAATACAATCATGCTAGAGGTAATAGTTAACGGCTCAACTTACAGCCTGGCTGCTTGGGTTGGCAACTCTATAGGCGTCGAGTTGTGGAAGACGAAAGAATTGGACCACAAGTTTCCATGGCGTGTGGGAGATACAGTATGACACTTGACTCAGACAGCATTTACACGTCCTGGCCTAGTTGCCACTAGCAAGGCTCAGACTACTCCCTCACGTGTCACTTCCAGGACGCTGGCAATGCCAAAGACAGAGGATAAAAGACTGAAGGGGTCCACCTCCTTCTCAGATGCACTCCCTTGTTTTAATGCCCTGGGCCATGACGCCCTCAAAACATTTTAAATCGAGCACAAAAGGCCAGACAGGACCTCCCACGATAACTAAGACAATCTCGGTGCCCAAGTTTCATGATTCTCGTAAGTTCTGATATCCTATCTGCTCAAACTAAGATTATCTAATAGTTGATTTCACCGTAGAAAGCAACGCACAAAGTGACAGTGCGAACGAGGACGAAAAGGAGATCATTTTGACTAGACAGCGACCTATCCTTGATCTGACAGTGGAAACTGAGCAGTGTGTACTTTGTTCACGCGTACTGGGTTCTGGAACCGACCACTTATCACGCATTTTTCTTTTCACCGCCTGTGGCTGCGTGCGTTTGCCTAGACTGCTGGCTCAGCAAATGATGATTGCTCATTGTGACCAGGTGATCTGCGGAGATTGTAGCTTAGGAAGCCATCCCGCTGACATTCGAAATCGTCATCGGATCAGTCTGCTATACCACTGTCCTCGGCATGATCATTTCATGTATGGGCGACAGAAAGTGCGAGAGATCTTCGGACTGGAATGCGCGATTTGTCTGACCTCAGTGTCCGAAAAGTACGAGTGGCCTGCTGATGAGAATGAGTTGGAGGTACAAGACGAACGTGTGCGGCTTCCATGCGGTGATTATCTTCCTAGAATCCGACCGTCAAGCCAACCGCTTCTGACTTAACTAGGACACTGCTTCTGTCGAAAATGCCTTCACAAGTGCGTTGCATGTGCTCGTCGATCTTCGTATCGTAGGTGCCCAAAGTGTCGGCGTCGATGGGATGGGATTATCGATGGGCTCCCGAGATTGCAAACTGTTCTATATCTGCATTCTTAGCTGCAACCTTGTGTAAGGCGATCTTGAGAACCACGGATCGTGCAACGTACAGTCAAGGGTATTGTAAAGTGTGGATGGGAGTGCATGTTAGTTGTGAGTCTTAGGCACCTGTATTAAATTCATGGCCCCCGGTTTCGGTGGTCATGTATAGTTACATTTGCGTTAAATTCGATGTACCATGGACGCAGCATACGGGACAGCACTGGATGTCAGCAACATGAGTCAGTTTGCGTCTAAGTCGCATCTGTTTGTTCCATGCTACCTTCTAACAGCACTCCAATGGCAAGCTCCCGACTTCTAAAGTCAGAGAATTAGACTTGTCTTCCCAAACGATCGGGCAGGTTTAGGATCCTCGACTTCCTCTCGCAGTTCATTCCGGCAAAGACGGAGAGTCCCTCAACACACTTCCATCTTCGACGTCATCGGTCTGGACCAAGTACACTCAATGCCGTGTAATTAGACAAAATGCACTGATTAGTGTTGCACAGGGGATTGAGTTCCCGGAAGATATTGTTCTCGTCTGATAGACGAGCAAAGAGCAGCTCTACGCGAAAGAGAGACTTCTGGCCCAATTTCGCCAGCAGCCCTTTTTCCTTAAGACGTTTGAGACATTCTACTCGAGTTTAACGGTGGACGTTGTTTGCGAGTTTGTCGAATTCTCTCTCCTGCATATCGTTGAGCATGCGCGATTGCCCACCCAAAAAGAAGTTGTGGCCATCACTGGACAGGCAAGTAGGTTTAGACCCTGCTTGCTACCGGCAGACTGATAAGTAGCAGCTGGTGCAGGGGCTCGCCTTCCTAGAAGCTCACAATCTGAAGTATGGAAAATTAAGCCTGGTAAACGTTTGGGTTGGTAAAGGAGGAAAGGTCATGATTGGTACCTCTGTTTCCTCCATGGCAATTATCGGTAACTGACCTTTTTAGGCGGACCCGAGCTCTGCCAGAGGAATAGCCATAAGGGTATTCCTGCAGCTAATGTCGATGTGCAAGATCTTGGCAATATTATTATGACGTTAGTCACGAAAAGTAACGAGTCCGAGCGAAAGCCGGTTTCTGTACGTTACACACTACAACTCGTAGACTTCTTGAAGCAAACCTTAACGCCGTCCTTCCCCCTTAGCGTATTGGCACGACGCTTATTGCATAAGAGATAGGACAGACTCAGCTCTTTCACTACGACATTTAATGTTATGATTACAGAAATATCGATACAGTACTGTATGACAAGA